ATGTGCCATACAACATATCAGTTGATCGAATCCTTCTCTGTAGCACTACTCAGATGAATGTCCTGCAACATGTCACTTACAACTCAGAGAACAGCATGAAGAATGTCCTTTGTTTTTGTGAGAATTGATAATGCCCTTGTATTTGATAGAGGTCATGTGTTGAGCTGAACACGAATTATCGTCAAAAATTTCATCCTTTCTATATGGTTTTGCATGTATGGTTGATGTCTTGTATGATTCTTAATTGTAGATAAAGGATAGGATTCATTGCTTAGTACCAACAGATGGCAAGACCCTCGAGGTCAATGATAAGAGCAGTGATTTTTTGAATTTTGAATTTAGTATTTTTCTGATGTGAAAATGTAGTAGCTAATAGTACTATAGAATGTTATGTAATAATATTTCTTCAATTCTTATACAAGTTGTACGAGGATCATTGGCAAATATATCAACCATATTGAAAAGATACATATATGGTGCTTGTTGTACCTTATTTATATGACAATGAATAATGATCTAGCGTTTTCCTTCATCAGTCTTCATCATAGACATTATATCTCCACATAGAGAGTGCCTTATGATCCCTGTTGGATTGAACCCATACACATTTGATGCTTTTCTTTGAACAGCTCCTCATTGCCTTCGGCCAAAACTTTGAGATCCTTCATGAGGATATCTAACGCCTTGGAGCGACAATTGCTGTCAAGAATGAACCAAAAACATGCAGAACATGGTATATTTTTAAGATTGTTTATGTATAGATTATAAGAAGCTTCAAAAAATGTTCTCACTTGTCAATGGCCTCAAGGAAATTTTGCTTTTTGATCTGGAAATAGATATTCGTCGCGTAGCGATTGTTATTTCTATTTCATATTGACATATTGGAGACATCAAATCAGGTTGAGAGGAAAAATGTGAGGGTCTTTTTTTGAAGAATTAAACTTAGTTTACCTAGACTGCAAAATGGTTCTTTTTCATTGCTCATAAGTTTGGCTCCAGCTCTTCAGTTAACTGCATCTAGAATATTGGTTTTGATCATTATTTCATCCCTTTCAATTTGCTTCTCTGTTTTTCCATCCCAGCAGCACCCCACACAAAAATCTGCAGGGCCAAAATGACGTCTTTAAATAACAGAAGTCACATTAGAGTAGAAGCCATGTCTGAAAGCAATTGTAGTTTCCAATATGCATCAGCACCAGAATAAACTAGCACATTCAGAGTGTTTGAGAAGGCAAGGCTAGTGGCTCTTTTGGTGTGACCCTCAAGCTTCCTTGTAACCTGCAAAATATATAAATCAAGGCAATGACAAACTTTTTGGGTTTGCTTCATCACAACATCGAGCATGATTTGTTTTTTTTTTTACAAGAACAAACAAACTACCTATTTTGAGTGGAGATTGTATCGGTTGGTGTCACAGGAAAAGCCCTGAAATCACAATAACTTATATTTGATAGCTTTATAGGATTTATGGTAAAGATGAGACCAGCTTATTTCTGAAGCCATTATCATGTGATTCTTGTGCATTCTGTTTTTCTTTTTCTGGGTGGTGCCTTCAAATAAACAGCACAGAAAATAGATCAGTGCTTCATGTAGCTCTTCATGCTCCAAGGGATGCAGTTATACAGAGTAATGGGAAAAATGTGGTCCTAGATGTTTGGGAAGTTCTGGACAAGATCCATTTCTGAGAGTTTTCGAAGTGGATTTTGGGTAATCACTACAATTTTTTTTAGTGTCCATATTGCCTGAATTGTGAAGTAATTGGCAATTCTGGTAGGTTGGTGCCACAGGAAAAGCCCTGAAGGATGTCATTGCTGTTGGTATCGGTGGCAGCTTCTTAGGTCCTCTTTAATGAGTAAAGCCGAACGGCGATACCGTTTCAATATATTATTTAAGGGGTATAGCCGTTCGTCCATACAGTTTATATATATTATTTCAAGAGTATAGCCGCTCGGCTATACTATTTATAAAATAAAATAAAAAGGACCCGCCTAGCCCGCCTAGGCGGCCGATTTTTGGAAAACTTGAATGGCGTTTTTTTTTTTTTTCAGATTTCTTTTTTCCTGGCGGGTCTGGTATCTCTGCAAATACATCAAGCTCGGGTTTTAGCGATTCACATTTATCAACAAGGTAAAAGCATCTCTGAAAATCAGTATTTTCCATTTTCTGTTTTGGTTTATGTTATGTTTGGTTGCTAGGAAGCTGATGATGAACAAATATTCTCTTACCTGAATATTCAGTTTCATATTTCTTTTGTTGTATTGATTAGTTTAGTTACAAACTGAGTTGGTCTGGTTAACTGAGCCAAAAGGAGTATGCTGGTTTCTGGGGCTCCAATTGTTGAGTCATCTCTTCTTTTGAATATTTTTTCTTTTTAAATTTCATTATTGTCAATTCTCAGTAATGTAATCTGGGTGAAATGCAGCTTTTGGATCCGTAAGATGGGCAAAAAGAGTAAATCAAAAACTCCCAGAGACATGCAAGATAATATAGCTGCTGTAGAAGAGGAAAACCCTCCTCATCTTCGGCCAAAAAATTGCTGAATCATTGGTTGAGATTCAGTTCAGGTTTACATCTAATCCTACTTTCTGCAGCAGGAACACTTGGAGAGCAATGAGGGTGATCCTGAGTTACTTGTTTACATTCAATAAGCATCCACTTTTGTTGTTTTATGTGTTATCTGCAGGACATGAGTTAAAGAATGCATAAACATGAAATGGATGGGGACAGGGAGATCCATTGGTTGACTAGTTGTACCCATTTTTCCATATTTTCATTCAATTTCAATGGTAACATGTTTGGTTAGATCTCCATAGTCGGATCTGTATGAGTTTGAGTATGGGATTCAACCCTAAGTATCATCTCCAGGTTCACCTAAAACAAACATAACACTTAATTTGTGTGTCATTTATAATTGTCTTTTGTTCTTGTGCTCATCTGCTATATCTCATGTTAACATAGCTGTACTTATCATCTCCAGGGTTCATCTGCTATATCTCATGTTAACATATCTGTCTTTTGTTCTTGGTCGCTTGTGACTCTGATTGTTTCCCTCCTTGGCGGATCCCACATGAAAAAAAGCCCACATGATCCCAATCAAAACTAACATTACTATATTCACCCGAAGATATCAATCAGGAAATAAAAGATGGCAATTGCAGTGCAGGCCATATAAGTTGAACCTTCGAACATCAGCACTATGAGCCAGTTTGGTACAGCACTGCCTCCAAAGCTATCATATAACCATATTTTGATCTTGCCATCCACTGATGTTGAAAAGACAACTGAGGCATGAAGCATGAAAAAAAGTGTTGTATAGTATATTGCAGGAACCGGAAAGTAAATCAGATGATTCAAAACATAAACATCACCAGAACCACAACATCAATACCCAAAGTGGTCTTTACATGGACATTTTCTTTGGTATGAGGACAGACAGAATAGACAGAATAGACAGAATAGACAGGAGCTTCATGACCTTCAAAAGAAACAGTCTTTGGCCACAAAATACATCCCAAACCTTAAACATACATTAATGAAACCAACCTTGACGGTCTTGTCATCAGCACAAGTTATGACCAAAAGTTGGTCGTGAGGGGAAAAGAATGCCAAAATCATTTACACTTCCCAAGTGAGCATCAATCTACGTAAGAAAAATGATGGGTTAGATTTATAGGTCACATACTCAAAAGTTGCAGTTTCCTTGAGAATTTATGTGTTCTTTTTCATAACTTACTTCCAATTGTTGTTGCCTCCATTATAAGAATATAATTGCACAATGCACTTTGCATATGCAACCCCTCTTCAATAAAGAACACGACGGCAGTGAATATGAACTACAAGAAATGAAAATCAGCAACTCCATACCATTTAAGTATGAGAACATTCTCACCAAATATAGAACCATCAGGACTCTATCGGATACGATTAACAGATACATATGAATCTTTGACCAGAGCTTCCTGAAATAATTGACATTGGTTCAAATTTCGGATCATATCAGTAAGGTTGAAAGAGTAGTGCATAATCCAGAAGTAGACGCACCTTTAAGGCCATCGAGCCTGCATCAAGATTCCAGACTCTAAAATTTCTTGAAAGCAACTTTTCCCCTGAACTAACATCACATAGTCCTATGTCTCCAACACAGGTTCCAACTGAAGAATCACATTAGCAGGATTCATGAGTGAACTATCAAAAGTAGTTACTGCACACGATCATCCTAAAAAGACAGGAAATTTATAAACGATGGGAGAGAAAAAAAGAAAAAAAAGAACATAGTTTCTCATTACTTAACATAGAAGAAGAGTTTGCCAAGCGGGATGAAAATCCATGCTCATTGGAGATGAGCCCTCATTTAGTGTCAGGGCAACAGTAGCGGGCAAACCATTGGGTATGGCAACCGCAGACATGTGACTTTGGCTAGGATCAGTGACAGTTGATTTTACCTAAACAAATGAAAGAAAAAGGTCAAGAAACACAAGTTCTATAATTATGTAATTCTGTACATAAATTTGATTCAGATTACCTCATCCAAAATCAGAAAGAACATTTTTATGGACAAGCATGGATAGTCAATAACCTCTATAGCTGTAGCCACAAAACTTTAATCAAAAGTTAATAATAACAACTATGCAATGTGTAAAATGACAACACACTTGAAACATAAATTAGAGGGTACCAGTACCCAACAACATCACTTGAAGAACTAAAATAAAATACCTGGGCTCTTTGCAGCATTGAGAGATACTGCTCCCGGAGAGAGCGCATCTTGTGTTACAGATAAATTTTTGGCTCAGTAGAAGCAGTTGGAAGTGGATTTAATGTTGCTTGTGAAGGCTAAATACATAAGGTTAGAGCAATCTTAGAAGATACCAGAAAGACTAAACAAAATCTTGTTTAAAAATAGAAAAAGAAAATCAGCTAGTATGGCTGATGAGCAGGAAACATTGGTTAATGAGGACCAATACGAAAAGAATTTCAGTTTACCAGAACATATCTTACTTGCAAACTGTTCCCAGTCGATAGAGACAAAGACAAACAGTCCTGCCATTCGCAAACATGATCAATGAAAAGGGTTTTAATAACTGGATTTGGACAAAAATCAGTAAGTGTAGACACCGAGCAGGATCATTGGTTAACGAGGACAAATACTTAGGAAAAATAAATTTATGTCACCAGAACATATCTTACTTAAAAATTGTTTTCAATTGGTGGAGGCAAACGAACATTTTCTTGTGGTTCACAAACATGATCAACGAAAAGAGTCTTAATGACTGGATTTTGACGAGGGTCTTTACACTGTTAATGCTGCCAATTCAAGCTGTCAAGTTAAACAAACAAGTCAGTGTCTCTCCCAATTACAAAAAACAGAAAGTGACTAAATCTTTTACTAAATATGAGAATAACAAGTACTCTCTCTCTCTCTCTCTCTCTTTCTCTCTCTCTCACAAACGCACACTGGCATATGTATGAACATATGCAATCACAAAATCGAAAGGAAGACCAAAACTAGAGAGGAAGCATTACCTTTGGTTAATGAGTTCATGTAATCTATGACTTTTGATGCTAGGATATACTTCAGTTTGCCACGGAAAACCGGATTTGCCTCAATTATTTGCCTGAGTTCTTTCATCATATTCTTCCTCATAAACATTATATCTCCACACATAGAGAGTGCCTTATGATCCCTGTTGGATTGAACCCATACACATGTGATGCATTTCTTTGAACAGCTCCTGATTACCTTTGGCAAAAACTTTGAGATCCTTCATGAGGATATCTAATGCCTTGGCGCAACAATTGATGTCAAGAATGAACCAAAAACATGCAGAACATGGTATTTTTTTAGAGATTGTTTATGTATAGATTATAAGAAGCTTTTTAAAAAAAAGGTCTCTGACGTTTGCGAAACTATCACATTGCATCCTTAAAGTTTTTTTGTATCACTCATGGTCTCTAACGTTAATATAGGTGCTCTTAAATAGTCCTTCTGTCAAAAAAACCGTTAAATCCAGGGGTATAATCGTCAAATCAATCCAAAATTATAAAATATATTTTTTTTTTTTATTTCCTTCCCTTCTCTCTCTCTTTTCTTCTTCTTCTTTCTCTCCGCCAGATATGGCCCCGTTCTTTTCTTCTCTTCTTCTCTCTCTCTCTGTTTCTCTTTTTTTTTCTTTCTTCTTTTTCTCCTTTTCTCTCTTTCCTCCTCTTTTCTTCTTCTTTTCCTTCGCTGTTTCTTTTTTCTCTCTTTCTTCCTCATTCCTTCTTTGTTCCTCATTTCTTCTTCCTTTCCTGCCCACGGCCGTTTTTTTTTTTTTTCTCCTTTTCTTATTCTTTTCTTCTTCCTTTCCTTCCCCACCCACTCCTCCTTCCTTCCATGGCATGAATCCCATACACCCACCGATCTCTTTCCTTCCCCTAAAGATACTGGCGATCACTAATTTCTAATAAGGTCCAAATCAACTCAAACTTCATCGAATTAAGAACACAATAATTTCTGGAAGGGATAACATAACCATCTTTCATTCCCTCATCTGTTGGAATGAGTCGGGTCCAAAACTCGAAGAATAAGAATGCAGATGAAAGCATGATTTTATCAAAAGTCAAAGAAACAAAACAGAAAACATAATTATCCCAACATTGTTTTCTCCTCCATCTGACAAAAATGGTTCCCAATAATTGCTTGCATTCCCACATCTTCCGTACTCTTTACCTGTCTTAGTGATTTTCTTGCTTTCTGTCTTACCAATTTGTGGAGTCTAATCAAATTGGGGAGGGTGGGATATCAAGGGGTAGTTCCAGCTTGAATCGTGCCCCACCCAATAAGACGCCAATGCTTCTCAACGCGCCGACTGAGCACAATTTTCTCTCCTCTGCTGGTGCAAACTGGAGAGGTGAGTTGCAGCTTTGCGAAGGACCACGCGAAGGAAAAGAAGAAGAAAAGAGGAGGAAAGACAGAGAGAAAAGGAGAAAAAGAAGAAGAAAAAAAAAGAGAAACAGAGAGAGAAGAACAGAAGAACAGAACGGGGAAGGAAATTAAAAAAAATATATTTTATAATTTGGATTGATTTGACGATTATACCCCTGGATTTAACAGGTTTTTTTGACAGAATGACTATTTAAGAGCACCTATATTAACGTTAGGGACCATGAGTGATACAAAAAAACTTTAAGGATGCAATGTGATAGCTTCGCAAACGTCAGGGACGTTTTGTGATGTTCTCATTTGTCAATGGCCTCAAGGAAATTTTGCTTTCTGATCTGGAAATAGATCTTCGTCGAGTAGCGATTGTTATTTCTATTTCATATAGACATATTGGAAACATCAAATCAGGTTAAGAGGAAAAATGGATCTTCGTCATAGACATATTGACATATTGGTTATTTAAGGGGTATAGCCGAGCGGTTATACTTTTTAAATATATTATTTAAGGGGTACAGCCGCGCGGCCATACTCTTTAAATATATTATTTCAAGAGTACAGCCGGTCGGCTATACTATTTACAAAATAAAATAAAAAGAACCCGCCTAGCCCGCCTAGGCGGCCGATTTTTGGAAAACTGGAATGGCGTTTTTTTTTTCAGATTTCTTTTTTCCTGGCCGGTCTGGAATCTCTGCAAATACATCAAGCTAGGGTTTTAGCGACTCACGTTTATCAACAACGTAAAGGTTAGCTCTTCCCAACAATTCACTCTTTTTTTTTCTGTGCATTCTTTAAGCTGTGGCTTAGAGTGCATTCGTTTGAAATTTCTCAAATTGTCAATAGCTCTGAACAAGTAGTCGAGTTGAGGCTTTGGACAGGATGGGAATGCATTTAATAGAAACTGGAAATCCAGATGCATTCAAACAGTATCTGTCGGAGTTTGATAACACCATTCATTTGTGGGCGACACCCAATTAGCGTCTTTCTGCATGTAAGTTCCTTCAGTATTGCCTGAAGTGTCTGAAAAGGAAGAAGTTCAAATATTTTTCCTTAAATTTGGCAAAGAAATTTCTACATATTATAACTGATCATGTGAGAATATGACACCCTAGGATGAAACAGGGTAAAGGCCTGAAGCTTCAAAGGCTATAGGTCAGTGAAAAGCATTACACTACTGTGTCTGGATTGTGGAGACAAATTTCAGGCATTTGCTAACAAACATGCGAAGCCCACAAGGGAGAAATTGATGCAACCAAAACCCTCATATATTGCATACAATACAAGTACATGATGATGACAGAACTAATGATCTTTGCAGTGGTTAAGAGCATTTACGTCTGCACTCGAACTCATCCCTCCAATATATATATCTTTTGCATACAATACAAGTACACGATGATGATGACACGGAACTAATGATCTTTACAGTTGATGGTTTTTGTTTTGCTTTTTTTATTCATTACACTTGTATAATTTATGCAAAGATTAATTGGGCTTTGGCTTTATTCTCTTGGCTCTTGAATACAAGAAGACTCCAGCAAGAGCCAGACCAGTCCCTGCAATGCAATGGAAGCCAAGCCAGTCATTATATTGATTAGAACAGAAATTAATCTTAAGCAGGCAAGTAATGTATTGATAATTAAGGAAAGTGTGACTGACCGAGAGAATTTATGGGTGAGACGGGTATTTGGAAGAAGATGACTGAGGAGACAATCACCACCACACGCTTCACACAGTTCCCTACTGCGTGAGTCACCGGCGATACCATCTCCAGTATCTTATAAGACACCTGCTTTGTTTTCCCCACAAAACACATGAATTACATACAAATAATTAAGCAATCACAAGTCACAACAAACAAACTCTCTGAAAAAGTGTCACCTGCTGATAAGTATGGAAGCAGAACCCAGCCAGAAGTGATCTCACGCATAACTCTCTGATATTCAATCCTTGGCTTGCCTGAAATTAAATTAATAAACAACATTCTTACAATAAAATATAAGAATTAATGCTTCATGCTTCATGCAGGGAAGCTGTTTTGCTTATTTAGAACTAATGGTACTAGTAAGTAAGAACTACTCACAGCTGAATGCAGGTATGCAGGAGTAAATTTAACGCCTTCCAACAGAATCGCTGAAGGAACCAACAGGATGAAGGAAATGATAGTTATCACTGAGAAGAGATTGATATTGTCCAAAGATTCCTGAATTAGGAATCAAAATTCCACCTCATAAATTATTATATCATCTTCCATACGACCATATATAACATAATAATGGCATTAGCTGGTGGAGCCATGTTTGGTTTCAAAGCATTCTGTGAATGAAAACAAAGAAATCCACATCAGCTGGTGGTTACTAATTTTACCTCTTTCTTAACCATGAGCTTCTTGCTGAGTACATTACGCGATTGGTTAGTAAGATTAGAGGCCATTGCGCTGCCGAAACCAATCCTGTTTCAGAAATGGAATAATTGTTAAAGCACTTGTAAGAAAAAGCCAATGCAATGCAAGGATGTGCTTGTAAGGGAACTTTTTGTTACCAATTAAAAGAGGCCTCGGTGAAGGATGCCAATGCCACTCCACCTACAATTGGCACAAGAGAAGAAACCACCCAGACAGTCGGCCTCTGTGTGCACAGAGCAATCAGCAATCAGCATGATCAATAAACTGAAAGTCAAATAACTTCTTCACATCAACAACACTGCTTTTCGCTGATTGCGGGGACAAAAACTTGGAGAACAAAAACCCCTACCTCTGCAAGTAAGAGGGCAGAGAACAGGACCGTGAAGAAGGGCTCCATGGCTTTGATTGTGTGAGTGAAGGAAACGGCAACTCTCCCAATACTGATGTTGGTCAATAGGTTGCCCATTGTGTGTGCCACAGCCAGCGGTACAATTGCTCCAAGCTGCGATCCAAGTCAATTAATAAGCAAAAGGAACAAAATTATGTAAATCATGCAACAAATTTAAGCAGAAGTAAACAAACAAACAAACACATGGCTCATCTCATGGATGAACAAATTTTATTTTGTGGCAAGAGGGAAGCAATAAGTTGGTACCTGTGAGCGAGTGAAGTTTGGCCTGGGGTAGAGGTTAAAACCCCACATCAACAAAATCATCAGAGTCCCGCAGCCAAACTGAAACGCTGTAACCGTTGCTGGAAACGGATAGACTTTCAGAACCTATGAACAAGCTCTGGCCTTTAAGTTCTAGCTTTCTTATTTAGGCCAAAATCAATGATCATCTTACACCATGCTTTTTAAACAAGAAAAAGCAATTCAGAAATGAGAGAACAGATATATAAAGGTAGAGCAATGAGCAATGAACCTGTTTGTTGTAGATGTTGAAGTAAATATTCAAAAGGTACCAAATTCCAAACAAAGCACCAAGCTGCAAAGTCTTAACCATCCCCCTCGGATTCGAAGCATCTTCAGCACTCTCAGGAGCAGCCCTTACCTTCAAATTATCATATCTTCGACTCGAGAAAAGGAAGGAAGCAGAGATTTTATTGAAGCTCGGAAAAGAAGAAGATGAAGAAGAAAATGTGTAAAAAAGTGTTTGCCATGAGAGCCTACGGACACAAGTGAGATTGTCAAGTTGTATCAAAGACGTTGAGGCCGAAAGTTGAGAGGGTTTAGGGATAGAGTTTCGACTCGGAGGTTTGAGAAATGAGGTGGAAGGTGACAGAGCAAGCGCAGTGCCCTGCATCATCTTAGTTTGTGGGATTGGAAAGCAAGCAAGAGAGGGAGAACTTAAGTGTTTAAACGTTGCATGAATACAAAACTGAAAGATGACTGCGTTTCTTTCCGGTTTCGTGTTAATTAATTTTTGGATTGTGGTTGCTTAATCCGACTGTAAACTTGAATAACACAATTTGATAAAAATAAAAAAAAATAAAAAACACAAGCGCTTGGTTTTGGCCCAGAACGAGTGAAATTAGTCGTTGCAGGGTTTTGTAAGCTAGCACTGCGTGGTGTTAAGCAAGCAGTGGAATGAATGGATGGCATGGATCTCAGCATCCTGTGTACAAAATTCGCTGAGACAAACATGTGGCCTCAAGCGCTTATATTTTGAGGCTGATTTGGTATTTTTTTGGTTTTCTTTTATCGTTTACCGTTTATTTTTCAAAATAATTGATGACTAAGATATTGAACCAAAGGCCACTGGTCTAAAGAAGACAATGATACTTGAGAAAGGGACAGAACAGAATGGACCTACGTTTCGGTCTAAGATACTGAGTTTTACTACAAATAAATAATTCAGCGATTGGCACATCATAGTGATTACTTGGACTTTAGTTCACAGGGGATGGAAAGAAATCAGAAGTTAAATGGAGAGAATGTTCAAACTAAATAGCAGCTCAAGAAAACTACTACGCATAATAAAATATTTTGGAGAATTCTTTTCTCGGCTCTGAATGCTTGGCATTTCACCTTGTGAAATTTTTGCTTAGTAGCCGTCTAATGTGATTTCACTCAAAACTTTCTAGTTAAAAAGAATTCCCCTTACAAAAACAGCAGAAACAACAGAACCTTATCCCAACTATTTGGGGGTATTCCCCTCACATAAGATGGGAAATGAACCGGACTCAAGAATCATACTCTAAATCTCATATATAGATTTAAAATGCATACTTTATGAGAGGCATTTAAGTCTTGCAAATGTCAAATAGCCAGTGTGACCTTTGGCCTCGCTGCACGGCCTAGCCATGACTGTGGGAGGACCAGTAGATTCTTGCACATTGCTTCCTTCATTTGATCGCTGCCGCCTTTTGCGTGGAAGAGATCCAAGAGAACCAGCTTCGTCCCCCTGGAAGTCATCCAATTTCCCTTCTCGAACTTCATATGTCCGAAGGAGTATCTCAAATGTCCTTATATCTAGACACAAGCAGAAGATACAGATCTTAGACGTAAAAAATAGACTTACATGCTCCATTAGGGAAGAAATTTAATAATAAAAAATATAAGAGAAAACACTTGGAAGAAGCAAAGTAAGTCCAAAAGAACACGCAATACGAAGCACAAAGGAGATAGCTGGATCAAAGCCTACCTGTAAAGCTTGATCTCATAGTCTCTGACGTTCGTTCCACCTGCTCAATACATGGGGAGAAGGAGCATAATATCCCATCTTGTTTCAGCATTTTCCCAGCTGATGGGATGGCCAACCAGGGTTGGGGTAGGTCCAGGAAGACAGAATCTGCCATCCCAGAAAGTTCATCTGGAAATCCTTCACCCTGAATATCTCTAACTCCTACAGTGACCAAGTTGCTTAATCCCGTCTTCTCAAAATCCTCCCTATAAAAGTAAAAGATCATGTGAGCCTTTCAATAATGATAACCTTCTCAACAGAGGAAATAGTTTAATCTTAGTACGGAAGCCTGGTTTTGCACAGAAAGTAAGCCACTGGTTTAAGTTTCTTCAATTTTAATTTGAGTAGACTGAGTTTATGTGCGGCTAAAACAACATGACGAAAAGTAAATCTAATTTGTAGATATTCTGAACTCAAAGTTTGCATGTTTCGGAAGGCAAAGCCAACACAAATCTAATTTGTACATGGAAGGAGATACCAATGCATGGAAACCAATTAACATTACAATAATAAGGAACAAGGAAAAAAGTGATCTCCACTTCTTACCTAGCAGAGACCGCCCTTTGCTCATGGAAATCAAATGTATAGACATGTCCTTTAGGAGCTACAGCCCTTGCAAGTGATGTAGTTAAAGATCCACTTCCAGTCCCTGACTCAAGAACCAAACAGCCAGGAACTATTTCCAAGAACATGATTACAAAGCTAATGTCCGCAATATAGAGAATCTGAGTCCTGTGGCTTAGAACCAAAGTCCAAAGTTCAGGAGTAGGAGCTAACAAGTAAACAAATCCACCCTTGTTGCTGAAAACCTTGGAACCAAATTGCTTTCCTACCCAGTCTGAATGTTTAAACACGCCAAACCGATTTTCGAGTACAGAACCATCACATACTTTAATAGCTTTCATGTTGTCATACCTCTCATAGACAATTACCAAATCTCCATCACGAATACAGCGAGTAAAAGACAACTTCTTTGTTGAATCAATGGGCAACATCCTCAACCCTGAAGTTGTTAATATGGATTTGAGTTTAACATTCATGGAAGTTGAGCATTTAGCATTATAACAAAAGCAAATAGTTTGTAGTCGACAAGTTTCGTTTGTTCATCAATGTTGTAACAGTTAATTGTTCTCACTAAAAGGGAAACCTGAGTGTGTTAGCACATAACTAAAAGGGCACTCCTTTAACAAAAATATAAAAGGAGGAACAAACAAACAAACCAGTTATCAATTTATCACCTGATAAGATTATCAAAAAGAGATAATAACAAAGCAGTTGAAGTAAAATTACAAAGTGCTTACTTCTGCAATCCACCAGATGTTGATACCCAACCCCTCAGAAAAAGAAGAGCCGAAGAAGGAGGACTGGGTAACTGGGTTCACGTGGAGAGCTGAAGAAGAAGAGGAGAAAGAAGCATACAATCAAACAAAACAAACTGATTCGGTGTTTCAGCTTCACAGTTTCACACTGAACAAGAGCCGAAGAAAAAGAAAAAGAAGGGGGAGGGGAGGGAGGGGAAGGCTGGATCGTAGGTTTAAGGAGCACTGGAGGTTTGGGCCTTCCGATTGGGGTTTTGAGTAGGTGAACAAAAAGGGTCTTCGTCTGGGCTTGACGGTAGCTATCAGCCCATGAAATTAATAGGTTTCAGCCCATATGGCCCTTCTTTCATGGACATGGTAGCTCTGTGTTTTGGAGGGTAATCTCTGCACTTTCCCTGTTTTTTTTCCTACTAGTATCAAATCAAAGATCGGAGAACCGAGTTGAAACCAACCGCTCTCTAATGGATTGAGCCAAATGAGTTATCCACAAACCTGAACTTTAGCAGAGTATATATACAAGGAGCTGGCCAAAAGGGTCTCTCTTTCACACTTTACCATTAGCAGAGAACCATTCTTCAAATTTTGGGTCCGTTTGGTTGCTGAGGAATTGAAAGAGGAGTAAAATAGATTTAGCTGTCCTGAGAATCTTAGCCTTCTCTTAGCAACGAAACGACCCAAATTGGGTTATTGGAAGGAACTTCCCTTGGTGTCGTCGCCGTTGATTAGTCCGTCTCACAATCAGGTATGCTGCGTGTTTATATTTACTGTTTCAACCACAAAGAAAGTTACGAGTAACATCGTCATTGCTCTGTCAGGATGCAGCTAGAGTTTACGGCTGATACTACTAACCTGAGCTATTGGTTGAACTGGAGAGTCTTGCTATGTGCAATTTGGTTATTCACACCGATTGTTATAGCATTATTAATGATATGGAAATATGATGCTTCATGCCATTTGAAATCTGACAGGAGAGAAACTCAGCAGGATGCAAATCAGGATTTATGCGGTGATAAAGCGTGGAAACCGTGCCTCAAAGAAATTCACCCAATTTGGTTGCTGATTTATCGAGTAACTGCATTCTCTCTGCTTTTGGCAACACTGATTGCCAGAGTTGTTATCAGTGGAGGTGGCATATTTTACTACTATACTCAGTAAGCCTCGTCTTATGTTTGGGCTCATCTAGTTCTATGCTTTGAATTCTGGGGTTATCTATAGATCCTGCAAAACCCAAAAACATAAAAACTGAACCAGCTTTCCAACTTAATTCGTTTCTTTCTAGTTATGAAGTGTGTTTATTTTTTTATGGTACTTCCAAATTCCTTGAGCAAAAAGTTTCTGTCAGGTATAGCTCGAAAGCCGACATATATTCGATTCGATACTTGCACCTCCCCCAAATCACGAGGGCCAACAACGGCACGCGACCTCCGCCTCCCGCCTTATCTCCATTGACAAGGTTCCCGCCGGCGAAGGAGCCTTCTTCGACAGCTAATCTAAAACTTTACCTAAACTCTACTCCAATAGTAACCTTCTCTCTTTCTCTCTCGTCCATCGAGTCTACAAGGTGTTTTATTGTTTGTCTCTGAGAGATTGGGTAACGTATTTGCTTGTCTAAATCTTTTTGACGTTTATCGGCATTGCACATTCACTCTATATCACAGACTTAGAAAGTTGTAGTTTGCTTCATGCGCCATAATTGTTAGATGTGCTGTCAAAAACCTCTGCTTCTGCCTTTTTGTTTGTCATTTTGAGCATGAATCTATGAACTGTCTCTTTTTTGTATAGTGAAATTGATGGTAGTTGTTACAGATGGTTCCATTTTGCTACTGAAATGTGATTATTTGCTGAAAAACTAGGACATGGGAACTCGGAGTACGTTATGGAGTTTTGCCAACAAGTTTTTCACATGTGGGGTCATAGGTGTCTATGTTTCAGATCGATTTGTGGGTGTTGCTCCGGTGTGCGGTTCCTCTATGTCGCCTACGTTAAATCCTGGAACTACTTCTTTAATGGGCTTGCCAATTGGTTTGTATATTTAGAGATATCTCAAACAAATTGTTGTTCTATGCATTGCGATGGTGCTTATTTAGTGGTGTGGTTGCAGATGACTATGTTTTGGTGGAGAAACGGTGTCTTCAAAACTACAAGTTTTCACATGGTGACGTGGTTGTTTTCAGGTAATTTTTGCCCCCAATGCAGATCGAATACCATTTATGCCTGGTGAATTATAAGAAGCAATTAGGCTTGTTGGAACCTTTTGCAGTTCCCCAAGCAATCACAAGGAGAGGCACATAAAGAGAATAACTTTATTACCTGGTGAGTGGATTGGAACTCGTCATTCCTATGATGTGCTGAAAATTCCAGAAGGACATTGTTGGGTTGAGGGAGACAACTCATCTTCTAGCTTGGATTCAAGATCATTTGGCCCAGTAAGTTTCCCTTTTGTGCACTAACAACAAGTAATTTAATGATATCATAACTTATCATTATGATCATCATTATCGATTGTGTCGCTGAGGATGTGGAACCATACACTAACTACTAGGTATTTGAATTTTCTTAGTTTATGTCAAATAACTCTGCTTGTGTATGTATTATTCAGAAAATTTATAATGTGGAGTAGGAAGTAAATTGTTTTTCTATTACTTTAACTTCTGGCTCCAAAATGAGATTATTTGTACATGATAAAATTCAAATGCTATATAGATAATTAGTTTGGTATGGCACAAAAGTTGTCATTTTGAAAAAAAGTTGGCAACTCGAGCTTATGCTAGCTGCTTTTGTTGTCATTTGGAAACATCTGTAGAATCTAAGTAATGTTTGAAGTACTCTGGGCTTTTCTTTAGAAGTTTCTTTTGAACATTCTTAACTTTACGTATTTGATAGTAAGCATGCAGCTTGTGCTGGTGACTTAGCTAAATGCATCAGATCATATTGCAAATGCGGCTAACTTAGGCTGTCTTCTATATTTCCGACACTTTGGCTAAGTTAGACAAGCTGTTTGTTGGCAGATTCCTCTGGGTCTAGTTCAAGGAAGGGTTACCCACATTGCGTGGCCTCCTCAGAGAATTGGTGCTATTGAGAAAAGAACACCCCAACACACAATTTCTTCTTCATAGTTGGACATCACTTGCGAATCCCATTTTTTCAAGGGGAAAACATACTTCTTTGTAGACTCCTTATATTTTTTACCATATGTCATAGCAGCACCTTCTGATTGGATTTTGTTTGTCAAGGAAAATCAAATTATGGATCTTGCAACTTCTGACTCTCCTAGAGGTGCATTCATCAGTTCTTCATTATCGCATGTAACTAGCAACAGAGTTCCAGGATAATCAAGTTTCTTTGTTTTAGCTCTATTATGGTTTTAAATTTTAGTTATTTTTATGTGCTGAACCTTTGCCTATTGATCATGAAACTAACAAGAATGTACTTTGTGATTCAAGAGACGCACACAATTCACTATGAGCTATTTTTATGTCACTTGCTTTTGGCCAATGGAAAGAGAGAAGGGAACAAAAAAAGTTGTCATGGCTAGTTGGATTGGATGTATAACAAACAATCTCAGGCTGGTTAATGGCTTACATGAAATCAGGGAAGAAAAAATAAAAGATAAGGCTTCCCAAACATATGAAAATGTGAGTCAATAGAGATGTCTTCTTAATGGCATAGAGCCTCTCCTCTCCTATCGAAATGGGTTTCTTTGCTTGGTCTAGTCAGTAATGTGAAACGTTTATTGTGTCCTTTGGCACCTTCTTGGAATTAGTCTCATGTCCGCTCATGGCATGTCCATAGCTAAAAAGAATGAGTCATCTCTTGGAATATACTCAATTGAACCTTGGGTTATTCTTCGCACTGTCTCTTCGCTTTTACAGCTAGAAGTTTTCATAAAAAAGAAAAAGAAGCTCCAATGTTACCAGGATGTAATGTTTTCTGGATGCTGGACAGGTGGACTTTTACCTTGCTTACCATTTATTTTGGGGTATGCTTGCTTTCTGATCTTCGTTTTGCCTTTTACTGAATCACCTCAATTAATTTGGTGGCATATCCAATGTCTATGTATTTCATAATCGTATGATGCGATCATTTCCACACTACAGAAACTCCCAGTTTATCTGTGTTCTCAGATCTCTGTAGACTATGCTCAGAACTTCTTTCCTCTTTTGCCTCTCTTTTTGTAGTGTGGATCTCTTCTCTCCATTTCTGGATGTTGGTGGTACAATAAAATCAGCAGCATGGGTACGAATACCAGGAGAAAGACTCAAATCCTGAAGAGGAAAGTTGTCTTCACCTAGCAGCAGCCAAATGCAGTTATGTCTTTGAAGCTATGTTCCAGGTCCCTTTTTCCCAGAATGATTGATGAATGCAATAGCTTTGTTAATAAACTCATTATGTCTGTCTGGCAAGCTTGCTTTGTTAATGAACTCAATTGAAATCTATTCAGATGAATGCTGGGGCAGTGATGCTTACTGATTGCGTTTATTGGATCGTTATATTTCCGTTTCTCACCATCAAAGATTACAATCTGAATTTTGTAAGTAGCACATACAAATTTATTGGATCGTTATTAGGCACCGAAAAGATATGGTCATGGATTATACATTTGTAAGAACATAGACATTGTTTAGATCAAATATAGTTGATTCATCTGAACCGTTGATAAGTATGTCTTATTTTCCTATCTAGCTTAAGGTTTATACTTCTTGTTTATGTTCCCTTTTATGTCAGATGACCGTGAACATGCACACAATCAATGCTGTTTTACTCCTTGGCGACGCAATGTTGAATTGCTTGGTATGTTCACATTTTTTTCTCTCCCTCACTTTAAACTCATACAACATATGTCTAGCTTCTTTCATGCTTAACTTTTTCAACTTTTGCAGCGACTCCCCTTTGTTCGGATATCTTTATTTATTTTATGGACAGATGCTTTCGTCATTTTCCAGTGGACCATTCATGCTTTTGTATCAGTATGGTAATTTTGGTTATCCTTTTGTACATGCATGAGAAGAACTTGCATGTCACGGGCACATGGATAGTATTGCTATTCATGTCCAATTATGCTTCATCATGTGATTGGTTGGGAATAGCAAAACAATGTTATCCCCGTGATATACGAGTTTCTCTCCTACATCAATATCTATGAACATGCTAATTTCATTATTTTTTAAAAATAAAATAGAAAGTCATTGCTCACTTTGTTGCAGGTGGCCATATCCATTTCTTGACTTATCATCACCATATGCCCCGCTGTGGTATGTTTGTTATCTATCTCTCTACCCATTCCGACATTATTCCCCATTACATTAGGACTTAATTGCATGTTTAGTAGTGTATTAATGCATTTCATTTTGTGATACTGAATTGCAGGTACTTACTGATGGCATTGACTCATATCCCATGCTACGCTATATTTGCCCTAATTGTGGGATTAAAACATCACCTCTTGTCAAAATGGTTTCCCCAGTCTTACCAGTGCTAGCTAAGAGAGATGAACCAAAGAACCACGTACTTAATTCGATTTCTTTCTATTTTTCTTTTAAATTACTTTATATTAATCTAATTTACAGTAAGGGGGTTTCGAGCTTTGAGTAATGAGTGCAAGGAGGTGGGCTTGCTGCCCTTGCCCACGTCTGCACTTATTATACACCATCTTTAAATTCAATCTAAACATCACCATAATATCAGGATAATGAATCTAAACCAACGAATATATCCTGGGATTATATATTCACAATCAAGAAAATTCAAAGACGCGCATATATCCAAATCGAAACATCAAATTACCAAGCACTTTCAAGTTGAATGTGCGTTTTGATCTGAAAAAGGTGTAACAGATCAAACAGAAGCACATAACTGAAATTATTCTACTTTACTAATCATTCATCCAATTAGCCAACTCCTGCTTTAAGCAGAAGTTTTGGCAACAGCTCCAGCTTGAGATAACAGAGGCACCAGTTTTCCTTCCTTGTGCAAGGCCGTTGTTGCTGCAGAACAACATCATCAAATATACATTAACCAATGAGATAAAAAGACTTATAATAATGTGGAAGGAAGACACACAATTAAACCTAATAAATTAATAGCCATGGTCAAGGGATTTTAAAATCTTACTGTCACATCCACCAATGTGGTTTCCACCAATGAACACATTGGGCACAGTCCGCTGGCCAGACCACTCACCCAGTGCTGATTGTATCTGAGCTCCATCACCTTCGAATGCCCAAACAAAACCACCATTTATAAATAATAAAAAACTCAAATAAAGCACATACTTGAAACAAGTCCTAAACACTTCATAACATCAAAACTAATTCCTAACTACTTGACCTAATCACCAAATTTCAAGTTTTACCATGTCCAATCCAATCCAAGCATCAAAAGTGGGTGGTTTTTTCTCTTTGAGTTTTGTTTTCAATATTTAAATGTAATTAGCAACACACACAAAAAGAACCCATGATCAAATAAACAATGATACAAAAAATTCTAGCTTTTGCTTGGGACATGTTTATATACTCAATTCCAAACAACCAAACAAGGAGGGCTAGATAAGATGTAGAATTATATACATACATATATATTTAAAAAATTAAATTTTAAAAAAAAAAAGATTGAAAGGAGAAATTGAAACTGACTCTCAGTGTCCAGCTCAATGGCCTTGAAGTTAGCTCCCAATTGAGTCAAGAGCTGCTTCACGCTCACGCAGTAGGGGCAATACGTCTTGCTGCAATTGCAAATTAATTACACATCCATAGCCTTTCTTAATTCGCCTTCTTAAAACAATAAACACACGCATAACAATTTATCAAAGTTCGATAAAAAGAACCTGAACACGACGACAGAATTGGACGACACGATCTCCTTCGCCTTTGTCAATGCCATAGCTCTCTCTCTCTTTTTGCAACCCTAAATTCCAAAATCCTCGCAATCTTCTTCTTAAGATTAGAGAGCGTTTCGGAAGATGCAGAGCGTCAGAGCGGTATATGTAGTGGGCCGCAGTCTGTAGATGATAGACAACCGACCTTCCACGAATGCAGTCTTTGATTTTACATTTGCTTCTTCTTGTGGGCCTTAATGGGCTTTTTCTTTTCTTCTCTTCTTTAACCACCAATGATTTGTGGTCGACATATACAAACCTCGTTCGTAACGCCTGACGTTGGTTGGCGTCCAAGATCACCAAGTCTCACCTTATATCACTCTACGACGTCATAACGTTCGTCAATGGCATTACCATGTCGACGAAGTTCCGTAATTAAAAATCCAAATGTCTTTATCTCTACCAGTAGCTGTTCAAAAGAGAAGATTAGAGAGAAGGTGCTAGCATTTCCCCAAAGTTTTATTGAATTTTCAATAGAAGATTATGTGCAAATGGTGATCATGACGACATTAATAGCAAATTCACAAACATCGTCTGAACGAAGAAATCTTGAGTTTAATTGAAATATATAAACACAAGATTGAACGAATGAAAATTGGTGGTGAAAAAGTAAATGTGCTTATTGGCCTTGACAATGGCTACATTTATAGAAGGATTTATAATTCTAGTTTTTACCTCCAGGGAAAAACCCCCGATCTCTAACTGAATCGCTAATTTTTTAAAATAAAAACAGATACACAAATTCCCACTGAAAAACTTTTCCAACATGACCATCTTATAGATTAGCATCGATATAGTTAAACCACAGCAGGTTCCAGAAGCTTTTGCTCAACATTATTTGCAACAGCGTCAATAAATTCTTCGGTGTTCAAATAGAACTCCCTCGATACCCTGCATGAAACATAAGCTTCTTAGTTTAGTACCCCCAAGAACCATCCCCTCTGGCTAAGTTAGTCACCTCCATCAGATGCACACAGACGAACGAAAATTAAATTGACCATTTTGAAAGATAATGCGGATGGTCCCAAACAGCGAATTCAAGGAAGAAAAGCCAATTTATGCCGTTGCTTGGGACTGTGCACACCCCAACTACCTCGTTAAACAGAGCCAAGAATCTACTTACTTGGAACCATGGGTCAAAATGGCAAGATCCTTGGTCATTTTTCCTGCCTCCACTGTCCCAATGCATGCAGCCTCCAACTTTCGAACAAAATCCAGCAACCTATCATTTTTATCTAATTTGGCCCTGGAAACAGTAAAGATTTTTCAGTTAATCTGATGCAAAAAGAAAAAATGCAAGCCAAAATGATTTATCTAATAGTTCAATCTTGAATGGTTACTGTTACACAACGCAGATTGCCACTATAAAGCCCGTTGTCACACTTCATTAACACAGTACCTGTGCTCTAAGCCTCGTGTCCATGCAAATATTGAAGCAATGCTGTTTGTACTGGTTTCTTGTCCATTTTGATGTAACCGAAAATGACGAGTTACTGTCCCATGAGCTGCTTCAGCTTCTATTGTCTTCCCATCTGAGGAGAACTGCACAGACTGTGGTTAGAGTTTGTGGCATAGAAATGATGAAAGTTATTGTTTGATGCATACCAACACAGAAGCCATGAGGCCCAAAGAGCCAAATCCTGCAAAACAAAACAAAAAACAGAACAAATTATTGAACTCTAGATCGAGAGAGAGAGAGCGAGAGCGAGAGAGAGAGAGAGAGGGAGAGAGAGAGAGAGTTCAACAGCACCTTGAGCAAGCAAATCACTCTGGACATCTCCATCATAATTTTTGCAAGCCCAAACATAACCACCCTCACTTTTGAGTGCATAAGCCACCATATCATCTATTAGCCGATGTTCATACCTAAATGCCAATAAAATCTTCAATTAATTATTTCAATATATGCCATGCAACAATGCATGATTCCATATTTACCATAGACAATACATACCATATAGAGTTTTCTTCAAACTTCTGCTTCCACTTCTCGTCATAAACCTCCTCAAATATGTCCTTAAACCTGTGGCAGTCCTAGAACTCAACATTTCGTATATTTTTTCTTTAAAAAAATTAGGCTAAATTATACTTTTGGTCCATATAGTTTAAGTCTGGTTCCACTTTAGTCCCATTAGTTTAAGTTCAACATATTTACCTTATAATTTTCTAACGCTTTAATTGTGGTCCAAATTTTCATTTCAGTCACAGTGGTTGACAGAAAACATGAACGTTTGCTTTAGATTTGTCAAGGCAGAAAGAGCAATGTGATAGCAATGTAGAAACAAGCCATGATGAAGGGCAAATTCATCATGTTTTGATAATTTCTGTCTACCACTGATATAGCTATAATTTTTCAGGCCTCGTTGAAAATGTTAGCAAACTATAAGGATAAATTCACTGAAAGTAACTACAAGGACTAAATAGAATCAAGCCTAAACTACAGGACAACGTACTTAAAGAAAAAAAGAAAGAAGAATTGAAAATTGAATTATTCCAACAAAAGTAAATTTACCTGCCATCATATTTCTTAAGAATTGTGTTTTTGGTGCTCAAGTATAGTGGCCACTTCTTGGAAAATGCGAACGACATTGACGAGTCAGCAAAAGCTCGAATAGACTAACAGATTATACAAGAGTTCGTTAGCAGAGTTGATCAACACAGTTGCCCACAAAGGTATGGTGTGTCCAAAATGTGGTAAGGCAAACCTCATCAACGTTATACATAGAAAGGGCCACACCAGGCCCTTTGAAATCATAAACATCAAGTTCCACAGGGGCATCCCCTCCTTCTGGGACTGAGCAACAGAGACAGATAGATGTCAAAACCCATGTTTAATAGGAAATTACTACACCAGCTCAATCATATGACCATGAAATCAACTTACCAAAAACCATTTTAAGCTTTCCCGGCCCTTTAATAACTGTATCAGTGGCTCGATATTGATCACCAAAGGCATGCCTACCAATACATATGGGTTTTTTCCAACCTGAGAATTCGACAAGTATTGAGCAGTTCCAACAATATATTACTAACTTTGAGGATTATAAAAGAGTCCAAACTATTACCAGGAACTATTCTAGGGATGTTTCTGCATAGGATAGGTTCACGGAAAACAGTACCTACAAGATCAAGCATAAAAATTTATATTTTATTATAAATTGTTTGAAAAATATTAGGGAAAGAGAAGCCTCATAAGAAAGTCAAACTAGGCTATGTACATAGACAGGTCATTTTAATGGTTAACCATATTTAAAAGAAAAATGAACAAGATAAAACAAGTATCAAGCAACTGGAATGAATCTGGGACACTTGAATAAGAAAACTGCTTCTTCACAAAATCTGTGCACAACAAAGCTTAATGAGCTGTTGCAAAGAGACTACTGTAAACTTGCATTTACAGTAGCTACTATCAGAAACCACTCCAAGAACTCCACTGCAAGAACTCTTGGTCACATATTAACTATGATACTTGATGTTTAAACCCAAAAGAAAGACCAACTTTCCAACAGTGAGGTATGCCAACTAAATTATTTGTAAAACTATTATTGAAATGAATGAGTAAGTAACAAAACTAAGAGCATTAGAATTCTGGTTTGAATTCAAAGGAGAAAAATTTATTAGATACAAACCGTTTAGAATGTTTCTAATTGTGCCATTGGGACTCCTCCACATTGATTTCAGCCCAAACTCCTTCACTCTGGTCTCATCTGCGAAGTATGAGAACCTGAAATTAGATGAAACAGAACTACTATTTCCATAAGATAACAGTTAAAATGTCCTGGCAGAACAGAGAGATCATCTGTTTGCATATCTTTTGGAAAGGGTTTGAGCATATTGAAGTTTTGAACACAGCCACAATGTCCCTTGGAAAGGGTTCAAGTTCATCACGGTAATATAGACAAACACAGAATTAAGGAAAAAAAAAGACAACTAACCAGGAGTTATTGTAGCACATTTCACGGCAACATTGTACCTGAAGAGCAAAAACGTTTAAATAAAACAAAGACGAGAAGCAAATTGCTAATCATTCATTAATCCCTTGAATTCGGAAAATTAAAATTAAAGTGAATCAAACTACTTACTTAAGAGCGGCTTCGGCACTCTCCACTGTAACTCGGTCATCAGTAGCATCACGGTTCAAAATCCCTAAATCATAATACTTTATATCCAAATCCAGATAGGGAAAGATAAGCTGCAATCGCATATGACGGAAAAAACCCCATTAAATTAAATCAAATTCCACAATAAAGCATTAGTAAAGTGAAATTCACATTGAAATGAATCTTCAGACTTTATCTTTAATCGTTTTCCATATGATCCTCGTCATTTCATCACCTAATTGGACAAATAATACAATAATCAATACGGTAGATAAGCACAGCAACAATTAAGTTCACAGAAAACGAAACTGCATCATCCGACAAATTATGCTCCGTTTGGTAGCTGTGAAAACAGAGTTATTAAAAAGATTGAAAAAAAAATCATTATCTGAAATCTTATCATCCTGACGACTCAACTTAACTTCATTCAACTACTTCGCATTGATATAAGTTTTCGCATAAATCGAAACCAACATTCGTATTTTTCCTGTGCTTTCTCATAAACCAAGCAGAGCATCGCTAAATAATAAAGCACTATGGTTGTAGCATTTAGGGAACTGACCGTCCATTTCAACAATAGGATTCTGAATCCGAATTTTATCGAAGCCGGGGGGCGAAGCGTAGCATCGCAACGAAGTGTGACTAAAGCGAACGGAGAACGAAACACGGTTCCCGACAGCCACTCCATTGAAGAGTCTCGGGGACGAAGAGAAGGACAAGCTAGGGTTTCTCATGGCTACAGAGGACGAAGCTGACGACGATATCATCGCAGCGCGCGACATGGCGCTCAATTGCAGTCTCGCTCTTAGCATTCAATATATATTTATATGAGTTTGCGTTACGAGTTGCGACTGCTAGATGCTTTGCTCGAACTCCAGAATTTGATCTTAGGCTGTGTTTGTCTCTATAGAAATGAGCTCAGCACTAGTGCTCTACTTTTTTTTTTTACCGTTTTCATTTGATCGGCAGGGAGGGGTGTTGAGTCTTTGAGTAATTACATCGGACGGACGAGAATATTGAGACGATGATTCGGTGTGAACGTCAGTATCTGCCTGACGGGCTGGCGGGCTGGCGTCGTGGTCCCAGGTCTAAAAGGCCCATCAATAAGCCTTGGGCTCGACAATCACTAGACCCGCAAAGACCATCCCGGTGCCTGACTTGCAATTTTTTTATTTTTACTATAACAATGTGATATTCTAAATTATCCTAATTTATAAATAAATTTTTGAACTCGGGGTGTAAAGCCATAATGCCCACTACTGACGCTAATTGGCCTAACCCGCGTCTGCATGTATAATTTGCAAGATGTAACCTTCTCGCTAATTGGCCTAACTCGCATTTACATGCATGATTTGCAAGATACAATCTTTAAATTTGGGCTAATTCTATAAATAAATAAAAAATCGATTATTAAGTATAAACAATATATTTTTTAGGTTTCTCTCGTCTTTAAGAAATGTTGAAACTATATATGAGATTTTGAAATTTCACATATATATATAAGTTGGTATTGTATTTTGGGAACGTGAAACTATTGATTTTGCATTCTTTCAAATTGAAGTGTAATTTTTCAATAATAGCTCGGTTTTCAAAATCATATATATATTTGGAATATTTTCTTCCCTTTTTCTGAATAAAAGAAGGCAGTCTAGTGACATGTCTCTTTACAGTCCCACCAACTGTATCTGTCTCAGTTGATTTGATAATCCTTCCACCCACCTATAAGTACGCCAGAGAGAGAGAGAGAGAGAGAGAGAGAGAGAGAGAGAGAGAGAGAGAGGGAGAGAGGGAGAGATATTTATGAAGTGTGGTGTAATCCATAATTTGCATTCACCATTCGTGTGAAGCAGCAGCACAAAACTAGAGTGTAGCTTAAGCGAAAAATATGAGGTACAACAAATCAAAAATTGCAATTTTGATCGTGTTTGTGCTATTATTGGAAGGGGTGTTAATGGTACATGTTAGAACCAAATCCAAGTTGAAGCAATATTCTTCAAGGCCAAGCTCATCATCAGGGAGTGTTTTCTTCAAGATATGGAACTTCAACTACAGAAGCAGCAATCAGAATAGCTCTGGGAATGGCAGAAACTTAAAGTTGAAGCACAGAAGATTTAGCAACCATGGCTTCTTCAGACCACTCCCAGCTGCTGATGAAGAACAGAAGAGAATCACACCAAATGGTGCAAACCCACTTCACAACAGGTGAAGGTGAGCTCACTCAAGGTCCCAGCTGGGCCTTGACTTGAACAGCAGCATGCTTGCTCAGTTTTCATGCGTGAAAGCTCCTTCAGCTTCTGCAGCTATGATCATTCTTATATATGTCTAACTTTCTAGCAATAACTTGTTTTGTTCCATTCCAATTGTACTCTCTCTGTTTATATTTATTTTACTTCCAAGTTCTGTTCTTTTAATAATTACAGTTCATTTCTAATTTGATTGAGAAATATGACATACATAGATGCTATGAGAATTTATTTTATTTTATTTTATTTTATTTTATTTTCCTTTCCTTTTTGGACCTGTTCTTGGATTCTGGCCTTCATTCTTGGCAGAGAAAGGACCAAAGGGAACAATAAATGAATGGAAGCATTGCATTTACATGAACAAAAGAAATGTTTCTAGTAAGTAATCAATCTTTTTGTGTTGTTGCATAAAGATCAAAGCCCCACCACTGGCTCTGTGGCAAAACTGAAAAGTTGGAAAAAAAAAATGCTGCAAAAATAAAAGAAAAAGGAAGAGTGAGTTGTCACAAACAACCCTTTGATTGAGATGGAAATTTGATTAGAGAAACCTTTAGAAATCAGAGAAAAGGACATAAAATTAAACAAGAAGATGCCAAGAAAAAGGTCCTTTGGTTGGTCTGACTGTTCACTGGCAAAACAACAAATCCAACCTCTCTTTTGCTGCATTTAAAAATGTGTGTGAGGTGAAAGCAGCAGCAGCAAAGGAGATATCCTTTTCCCAACTGTGGATATATATATTTACTATCTCTCTGTAGCCGCCAGCGGAGAGGGACAGTGACACTACCCCACAAAATTGTAATAATACAAACAAAGACAGACATTCTCTTGGGCTCGTGAGTTTGCAAAAACCCAGCAAACCAGAGAAACCCAGTTATCATAGAAAAAGACTCAACAACAAAAATGGAACAAGTGAATTCAGCAACAAAATGGGCTTTTGCTTTTTTATTTTTCTTGGATTTTCACGGCTCAGTCTACCAGGAGCTTCTTGTGGCCTAGATTCGTTTTCTCCTTATTGTCAGATGTGATTCTAACTCCAGATATATAGCTTCTCACCTTGTCCGGTAGCTTTTGTTTACTCTTCTTCACCACGTGGGCATGCTGCATTTGTAGTTTTTTGTTTTTCAAATTTTTATATCTTTCTATTTTCCGAATAAGCACAATTTATGTTTTATTATTATTTTTAATTACAATGAAACACACATTGGTTATGCAATATTTGTTTGTTTGTTTCTTCTTTTGGGTTGGAATAGAAGCTTTATTCACTAAGCATACATACATAAGCAGATACATTACGTATAGGTATTTCAGAGAATTTCATCCTCGACCCAAACATAAAAGATTATGAAATATAAACACACTATTTGACCGGCTATTGCAAGAGGATGTAGTTAAGAGCAGTTACTTATTCACCTAATATCATGCCTTCGAATTCCTCCTCATAATATGACTCGTATAAAAAGTGATAAATGAAACATGTTAGTTATGTAATATTTTATTAAGACTTTTTAGTATGACGTTGTTTTAAATTTTATTTTTTAAAGACGAAGCTACCACGTCGAAAATAATACCCTTAAATTAGGGTTTTATAGCTATATATGTTACCAAAACAAGCGGGCCCAGAACAATTGTCTTAGATTCATCTTAGTTTTGGGCCTTCTCATCAAATTCAGGCCCTTTTTTGAAAGATCATTTTCATTTCAACAGTCCAATCCGTTAATAAACAGGCTATTTTTCTCCTCCTTTTTTGGGGGTAAAACTTTCCACTTTCTTTCATCAAAAAAAAAACTTTCCACTTTCCACTCCCTCACTTATCAGTTTTCGATCCCGCGCTAAAACTCTTAAACCCTAAACCCTCGACAGCTCTCTCTCACTCTCTCTCTTTCTCATTTCCACAACCGCCATGGCGTCCATGGCTAACCGAGCCAATCCACTGCTCAACAATCTCCCTCACTTTCTCACATGGCGAGCCCTAGGGTTCCGAACAATTTGCAGCGGCCGCATGGGCTTCTCGTCTCAGTCGCAGCGGCAACTCGATCCTGAATCCCCCGTCGCCGGCACCAAGGTACTCGAGACTTTCAAAGAAGAATTTGAAATCGGAGATCGCTTAATTACACTTGAATCCGGAAAGATCGCTCGCTTCGCTAACGGGGCCGTCGTTTTAGGCATGGAAGAGACCAAAGTCTTATCCACCGTGGCCGCTGCCAAAGGCGACGCCGTTCGTGATTTTTTGCCCCTAACTGTATGTCTCTAATTCAACTTACATTTTCGTATTAATTTCTTTATGTCGAATGCATAAATTCTTCAATTGTTTGAAGTTACACTGATCGTAGTATCAGTTAATGGGTAAAACTTCTATTTGATAATATGGCGATTATGATTCTAGGAAGGGCCTCTGTTTCAATACGGTCTCTTTCATGCGGTCATGTTCTTTTTGCATGCTTTTTTATTAATCACCTTGTGGTTCATATTGCATTTTGGCGTATTGCATACTGTAAGGTTGATTATCAAGAGAAGCAATTCGCCCAAGGTGTTATTCCGAACACATTCATGCGAAGGGAGGGGGCGCCAAAAGAGCGTGAACTATTGTGTGGTCGTATCATTGATCGACCAATACGTCCCCTATTTCCTGCTGGGTTTTACCATGAGGTTCAGGTATGGTGTTACGGTTTAGGTTTAGGTTGTTTTTTATATTTATGATTGGTACTCTTTTGCGGCAATAATGGTCTCTGGTCTCTGAATATGCATTTCCTGATGTTCATATATAGGTAACAGCGAGTGTTCTTTCCTCTGATGGAAAACAAGATCCAGATGTACTGGCAGCTAATGCTACATCTGCTGCACTTATGTTATCAGATATTCCTTGGGCTGGCCCCATTGGAGTGATTCGTATAGGCAGGATTTCTGGGCAGTTTATTGTTAACCCAACTATGGATGAGGTAATGCTTACTAGCGATTCTTATCTGTCTTTCAACCGCAAATATCCACATATTTTCTTGTGATATCGTTTTTATGGCTCTAAATACTTTTTTCACACAAACTCACTTCATCTGATTGGTCCTTATTGTGTATAAATGCAGCTTAGCTTAAGTGATCTCAACTTAGTGTATGCCTGTACGAGGGACAAAACCTTAATGATTGATGTGCAGGCTCGTGAGATCTCAGAAAAAGATCTAGAAGCTGGGTTAAGATTGGCTCATCCTGAGGTAAGTCATGAAACCTGCAACGATTTTGTGAAGTCTCTTTATTTATGGAATTCTACTAAGAAACTGGACTGTGATTTCAGGCAGTTAAGTATATTGAACCTCAAATCAAACTGGCTGCTAAAGCTGGTAAGCACAAGAAGGAATATAAATTGTCAATGATGCCAGATAGAACATTGGAGAAAGTTGGTAAATTGGCAGAAGCTCCTATAGAAGCTGTTTTCACTGATCCTACATATGGCAAGGTGCATGTCATCTATATGTGTACATCGTCTGTTTCTTTTTGAATTCCTTCTCTTCATGCATGGTAATTCTGTATTGTGTCTTCTTTTGGGTTTCAAATTGTGGAATACTTTGACTTCCAGTTTGAACGCGGAGAGGCCCTAGAGAATATCACGCAAGATGTGAAAAAAGTACTTGAAGAAGAGTGTGATGAAGAAAGCTTGAGACTTTTACCGAAGGCAGTAGACACAGTGAGGAAAAAGGTAAGCCATGCCAAAATGAAGCTAAACAGAATTCAGTATCTTTTTCCTTGTCTTGATTACTTTCATATTGTACGTCTGTGAGCATCCTTCACCTTCGTCGTATCTTTATCTTCAAGAACCTCTACATTTTCCATTATACTTAACAAGTTACGACCTATTATATGATAAATGGAATATGGCATTGGAAATTTGATTTTGGGATAGGCATTTATCTGAATTAGGTAGTTAGGTTTTCTATTAGGAGCTGCCGGCTGACTCTCTTTATTTTCTTAGTTGTATTCTTCTGCGACACACACACACACACACACACAGAGGAATAGGCACATTTTCTCTTTTAGTTCTCACATCTTTCATTATGTTTAATTTAAAAAATATTAGGTTGTCCGTAGAAGAATTATTGCAGAAGGATTCAGACTTGATGGGAGGCGTCTTGATGAAGTTAGGCCTTTGTATTGCGAAGCTGGTAATTTGCCTATGCTGCATGGATCATCGCTTTTTAATCGTGGAGACACACAGGTCAGTATGCATTTAAAATACTGGATTTTGAAGTGTTTAAAACTTTGTTCCAACTCTCGGTACATATTTGGTGTTACACACAGGTTCTTTGTACCGTAACACTTGGGGCACCTGGTGATGCTCAACGCTTGGAGTCTATTGTTGGTCCCCCAAAAAAACGCTTCATGCTTCACTACAGCTTCCCGCCATTCTGTATAAATGAAGTCGGTAAACGAGGTGGCTTGAACAGGCGTGAAGTTGGTCACGGTAATCATTGCCTACTCGCTAAATGGAGCAATGTGATTTTAATTTTTCACTTTGCCTTGTGGGTCTGCTCTAAGCTTTGGGCCTAGTGGTTGCTTGAGTTTACTTTTTTTTAGCTTTAATATCTTATTGAATTTATGCGGCTGGACTTATACCTAGTTTGTGTTTTCTAAAGCCCAAGTAAGAATGCAATTGCTATAATATGATTGTACATACTTCATACATAATGGTATATGGTTTGTATGGGGTCATGAAGCCCAAGAAGGAAACACTGCCACATGCATCTGAAAGGGATGCTACTGCATCCTTTTTTGGAGTCTGATGGTTGCAATAACCTGTGCCCACGTCACACTTGATTTAGCAACTGTCTAAATATGTATATTGTTTTCCCTGTTGATTTATTTCCATTTACCAAAGCAACAGTGGGATCTAGGCTCACTTTAAACTGAAGTGAAATGCCTGTGATAGTTTTACATAAATGGATTTATTAATTGTCGTTTTCAATCTAGCATCAGACGTTTTAGGACCTAGATAAGTGGTTTAGGATATAGATAAGTGAATTCCTAGATGTTTATGTGTAAATGCACAACTTTCTTAATGACATAGAAGTTTTACCTTCTAGAGTAGAAATAGAAATGATAATTGTTAAACAAGTTAATAATTATAAAAATTTGTAGTTGGTTTTGAATGAATAGGAACTCTGGCGGAGAAAGCTCTCCTTGCTGTATTACCTCCTGAAGATGATTTTCCTTATACTGTCCGTATCAATTCTGAAGTAATGGCGTCTGATGGTTCGACATCAATGGCAACTGTCTGTGGAGGTATTCTTTTCAGTTTACTGCAGTAGTAGCTATTGCCAATCTTTCTGTGATTTAATTATAGTTATTTTATTTGGTTTCTGTAGGCAGTATGGCTTTGATGGATGCTGGCATTCCACTGCGCGAACATGTAGCTGGTGTCTCAGTAGGTCTTGTTAGTGAAGTTGATCAATCAACTGGCTCAATAAAGGATTACCGTATATTGACTGATATTCTGGTGAGATTTTTACTTGGCTTTATGTTGAGTTTTACCTCTTGCATGGTGGCCTTATGAAAATAGTCAATGATTTCCGTTATTTCTCAAACTGAATTTGCCTTTAAATGCCATATGCAGACTTTCACTTTTTCATTTTCTTTCTCAGTTATGCATGTCTCATTTTTATTTTTATTTTGGTTTATTTCTCCATTGTGTTTTAAATTGAATATTTTAGAATTTATAGCCAAAGCTTTATAACTACTACTTGTGGGTTTCTGATTCCAGATTTTACGAATTATACCAATATATCTATGTTTTATTTATATTATTAGTCAACTTAGAAGTTTATTTAATTTTTTGAGGGTCTGGAAGATCATTTGGGGGACATGGACTTCAAAATTGCTGGCACGCAAAGAGGAATTACAGCAATTCAGTTGGATATAAAACCTGCTGGAATTCCTTTAGATATTATTTGTGAAAGCTTAGAGCCTGCACGTAAAGGTCGCATTCAAATACTTGACCACATGGAGAGAGAGATCAGCGTGCCACGCACTCAAGATGATAGAAATTCTCCTCGATTAGGTTGAGTTTTCAACTTAGTTCTTTTGTCTTTTGTTTTTAACCAGTTATATATATATGTCTCTGTGTGTGTGTGTGTGTGTGTGTATTGAGCTTCAAGATTTAAGATTGCTGGTGCAGCTACCTTGAAGTACAGTAATGATGCACTTCGTCGCTTGCTTGGCCCCCTTGGTGCTCTAAAAAGAAAAATTGAAGATGAAACGGGTGTGATTCTTTTCTCTCTCTTTATTTTTAATCCATAAAGAAACAAGAATGTTTTGCACTTCTTTCTTACAAATTATTGAGCCCTTTCTGTTGATAATATTATCTGGCCTTTGGATTTTACTTTTGTTATCTATATTCAGAGTCATTTGGTTTTGTCAGCCCTGTAGTTTGGGCACATTATATAATGTTTTCACTCCTAAAACACATAGGGAAGACAGTCTACAGCTGTAGTACTTACCTCAACCATCTCATGGAATTTGGTTTTCGTTTATTTTGTTTTCATCTTCATGTATTTATGTTATGTGCATGTTCTTGATGGGATTTGTTTTAAAAAAATTCCTTCTGGTTGATTATTATGTTATGCGCAAGTTTTTTATGCCATCAGAGTGTCCATGATATAAACTTTATGTATATTGATTAACTCGACAATTGCTGCTTATTTCTTTCAGGAAGTTGCTTGACCCACTCTTTATTTCTCTCCATTTAAACAAAATTTTGTTTATTGAGAAATATATATTTCAGGCTTTATCTCTGATAGTTAGTTCTGTTGATCTCAGGTGCACGGATCTCTGTAAGTGATGGAACACTCACCATAGTTGCTAAGAATCAATCTGTAATGGAAAAAGTACTGGAAAAGGTATTTTGCCACTCAATCAGCTATTATATTTCTTGAGTTGATTAAATTGTTGTTTTTCTATGGCGTTGAATTCCATTCAAAGCTTTATAAACCTAATGCATCTTTGAGTGCCTCTGGGCTCTCTCTCTCTCTCTCTCTCTCTCTCTCTCTCTCATATCTTGTGTTGAGGTGTCTTTATTGGTTTATTCTGTCCTTCAGGTTGATTTCATACTTGGGCGTGAGATCGAAATTGGTGGGATCTATAAAGGAAGAGTATCTTCAATCAAGGAATATGGTGCATTTGTGGAGTTTAATGGTGGTCAGCAAGGCCTTCTGCACATTTCTGAGTTGTCGCATGAACCAGTACGTAGAACAATGCATTGTTTTAGAATACTGATTCCTCCCCACACCCTCTCTGTATAAAAATGTTTATGGAACAACTTTATATGTATTACAGGACGTGAGATTTTTCTATTTCTTCGTGACATTTATAGCATTTTTTTAATCAGGTTTCTCGGGTTTCAGACGTGGTATCTATTGGGCAGCAGCTTTCCTTGATATGCATAGGCCAGGATGTTCGCGGTAACGTTAAATTATCCCTTAAAGCTACTTTACCTCGACCTAGATCTGAGACAAATAATGTGGTTGAGGAATCTGTTTCATCCACCAAAGAAGCACCTAGTATTTGGGCAGCTGCTGGAGACCTTTCGTCTAATGGACAACAAAATCAGAGCTCTATATCTGAGAAATTGCCAGCGAGCAAATATGAAGCTGGAGGCATTAATGCCTCTACTTCTAGTCCACCAATTCTAATTCGAAGTGCAGCAGAGTGTGACGAGGAAGAAAAATCTGCTGGTTTGGTTCAGAATTCTAAAGCTACTTCTAGGCCTGTTGGTGCTTTGGAAACAGATCACAAGCCAAAAACATTCCATCAAGATAGTTCAGTACTTGCTAAGTCTGGTCTCCTTCAAACTATTAATGATAAGATGTCAAAATCTTTCTTACAGAAGGAAGGAGATAAAACTGAAGTTAGAAGCCCTGTAACTGCAAAAACTCTGAAGATAGGAACAAAGGTTACTGCCAAGGTTTATCAGATCCGCACGGGGGGATTGGTGCTTGACCTAGGTGGGGGAATTCGAGGAATGTATCGGTTTGAGGTATGTGCCATCTTGTTTTTATAGGACAGAGAAGTATTTTTCTTTTTCTTTGGGTGAATAATTAGATTCCTTCCTAGTAGTTACCCAACACCCACTCCCTTGGATTGTATTCAAGCCTTCATACTGTACCTTGGTTTTGGTTACAAGAATCTTTTCTTGCTAGTATGGTCATCTTTCAGGCATTTCCATATGTTGCCTTGCCACTCATTTGTCTAAATATCCACATTTTGTTGTCTAAGCCTGTTGCTCAATACAGTTCTGATTCATGTCACTCATCCATCTCAGTCGCTCAGTCTATAAGTGGGAGTAAGATCGCCTTTACTCTCCCTTTGGCACGATATATTTTCCACTGCTCACTCTTGTGGGAAAGACTAGTCTGTCGTGTGGAAGCAGTAAAAAATTTCGGTTATTATTGCGTACTGATGCATCTTTAGTTTATCATCCAAGGGAAGATTGAAAAACAGGTACATGCAATTAGCTAGAATGATCAGCCTAGGTTATGGTACATTATTTTGCCTCACATTTAATGGCGTGAGATGACCATGAACTCAACGAAAAGAGTTGTTTTTATTTTATTTTGGTCCGATGGAAAATATGCCCCTTTTTATAAGTGACATATTTACTAACCTTTGTTTTGCCGTGCAGACCAATGGTAAGAATGACTTCGAAGTCGATGATGAGTTACAAGTTGTGTGTGTAAGTTTTTCTAGCAAGGGGATTCCAGTAATGTCCCTGGTGGATGATGAGTAGCAATGTTTTTGTCACGTAGATGACTGTCAAGGCAATCATCTTGAGGAAATTCTGGTTGCAGTGGCAGAATAGAGACGGTCGTCTAGCCAAACAACTACCTAGAAGCTTCTGCAGGTTTCATACAAGCTGGTTGGAAGATAATATCTTGAAACCACTGTTCATATTTCGAAATGCCAGGAACGGTAGCTCATGAACTGGTTTCCGTGAATTTGGTGTCATGTTTTAGCTAAGCATGGCCCCAGTTTTCTCTATTTCTTTTTTCTCTTTCATAGACTTCTCTTGTACATATTTTACCGGCTTGTCATTCCTTGGTTTTTTTTTTTCCCGCTATTCCATTATTCAGGGATTGCATCCGCTGACGAAGTGTAATTGGGCTGCTAAGAAGCCTAAACAAATCTTTGAGCCCGAAGAGTACCCAAGCTAAGTCCAAGCAAACTCTTGGCATTGAGAAACAAATGTAACATATCGGAAGACGATTTATTATTTGAGCTTAAACTCTTGGCAAGAAAGTAGAAATTGCACACCTATAACGGCCAAATTAAGGCCCAGAAGGCGGCCCAATAAAGTAAAAGCCCGAGAAGTCGACCCAATAATTGTGGAAACAGGACCAAAAGTCTACCCAATAACGTCAATTAAGGCCCAGAAGTCGGCATAATAACGTAAAAGGGCCTAAAAGTCGGCCCAATATATGACAAGAGGCCCAGAAAGTGGGCCCAATAACTTTAAATCGGGCTCCTAAGACGGCCCAATAATGTCAAATCAGGCCCACTAACGTCAAATCAAGCCCAGAGATAGGCCCAATAAAGTGAAAAGGGCCCCAAAAGTCGGCCCAATAAAGTGAAATCAGGCCCATAAACGGCCCAGTATCGTCAAATTAGGCCCAGAAGTCGGCCCAACAACAAAAAAGGCCACAAAGTCGACCCACTAACGTGAAATCAGGCCCAGATCACGGCCCAATAATGTCAAAACTTGCCCTGAATTCGGCCCAGTACGTGAAGTCAGACCCATAGGTAGGCCCAATAACGTATAAAAGGCCCAAAAGTCAGCCCAAACAAGCCTAGAAGTCGGACCAATAACCTAAAATCAGAACCAGAAGTCGGCCCAGTAATGTTAAATCTGGCCCAAAATTCGTCCCTAACAGGCGCAGAAAGAAAACGATTGGGCGTTTGAGCAAATTAATTTGGTCCGCATGTCGAAATTAGTGGGGTCAAAAGTGATGGGCTAGGATTCGGGGCCCAAAAGAAACTTGAAGTGTTCTAGAGATTGGTTGGGTAAATTAATTTCAAATTGAATGGCCATAACTTCAGGCACAAAACGGTAAGACCAAATTGGATCGACAATAAACTAGGGATGAAAGTATAGGGATCCAAACTGTAGCCCAAGAAAGAGGATCGAAATGGGGCTCATTGTCAGTAGCTCAGTACCGGTGCTTGCAAAAATTAAATAAATTCGGAAGGGCAGAAGGCCTGGCCCAGTTGGGTCTGAAAACATTTTGTCCTGCCAAACCGAAATGGACCCTTTAATAATAGCATCCAGTCATTTTATAGTGAGGGTCTTATCTAAGGCCCTTAGATAAGGTCCTATCTCTTAACCGTTGGATCAAACTAACCAATTTGATGCAACAACAAGATCGGCCCTCACTATAGAATTCTTGCAATCGCATGAGCGAAATTTGATGGGCTAGCATAGCTCAACAAGGCCTCCCTCCACAATGAGGAGTTTGGATCTGCTAATTCCACCAGTCGGGCCAAAGTTCAGACCAAATAAACTCTTTAAATTCTTGATGAAATTACTCCAGTCCAGAAAATAATTCGAAGAGGCTAGCTAAGGTAGAAATGATTTAGTCAGAAAACGAAAATTAATAGGAAAGCTTCTATCTATTCGTTAAAAGTAAGAGGTAAACATTCAGACCCTATAATTATGTTGGAACTTGTAAGTGGTCTCCAGTATCTTTGCCATCACCATTCACAACTTGAGGACTTGAGGTCGGTACAGGGTGATCCTCAATTGTTGAGGAACAATATCATATCATCACCCTCAATTGTTGAGGAACAATATCATATCAACAATGTCAAGTCTCTGTTGCTCTTTCCCAACCTGAAAATAATATGCAGCAATTAGTAATCCACAATTCCGCAAGTTTTCCAGCATGTAGCAAAAATAATATGCAGGAATTAGTTGTCTACAATTCCGCAAATTTCCAGCATGTAGCTATTTGCCAATTCGTGACAAAAGACAGATAAAACAAACACCATCTTTGCTCATTATAAAAGGCCAAACTCAGGTTCAAGGGAAAAGAATAAAAAGCCAAACTTCTGAACTAATCTGGGAAAGTATAGTGCACATAAAATAAGATGCTTACATAAGGTTCGGCCAAACAGCAATTTAGGATCAGAATCAACAAATTCAAAAATGTACAAATCACAAACGGTCACAAGATTTAAACAAAGTTATATTTATATATATATATATATATAAATATAACAAACAACAGCAAAGAGTGATGCTCAACTTTACTGTTTACCTGACAGAGGTTCTTCAGACTCCTCCGAGCCGCTGATAATGTGTATTAAGGGAGACTGGTAGAAAACTGTCACCAGGTAGAAAACTGTCACCAGGTATAAAGCAACCATCAGATCATCCTCAAAGAAATTATCAGCATGAGTAGATGCAACTACAAATTAATATACTGGGTCAGTCCTAGATGCTCATCGAAATCAATCATGGAATGACATGCCAAGTTAGCGAATTTGTCACATAAAGGTATAGGTGAAAATACACATTACTGTATGCCCATATGCTATATGACGGACGTTCATTTTAAGCACTGTCCTACTTCACAAATGAGAGATAGCAGACAAAATTATGCCCATTATCATCTTCCCGCGGCTATAACTGTTACTGAAAGCCCACTTATCAGGGTCAGTATTTATCAAAACTATTTAACTCTATACCCTACATATAGAAATGAAATAAGAGTCACAGAAGATGCTTCACATGGTTGCTTTTGTGATGCTATTCACATAATTGCTTTTGTGATGCTATTCACATAATTGCTTCTGTGATGTAGTTCACATAATTGCTTCAAAAATTCTAATACTTCTCTTACTAACTCTACACAGTAAACACGAAAGGATTTAGGATTGCAGCTAAACACATATCATCCAATAAACAACTTGGCACTTTCAAATCAAAGTACAATGCAATGTGTGCTCTGCTTTGGAATGAGAAACCAAACCACACTACTTACAATGCATCAGACAGGACATTTCTCATTAAATAAGATAAAGGGGGAACGCACATCACCGAAAATTGGCCACACATAGTTTAGACAAACGAGAAAATTCAAGAAATAGTAACAATGAACACTGCAACTAACCTATTGTCTCGTGCCCCAAAACTCTCGTAAGCATGGCATCTGAGAAAATGCGCCATCGCTAACCTTGCAATAAACACAAACAAAAACTGTAAGTCCCACCAAGAATCTCGGAGAACAGACGAAGGAAAAAATAATCAATTATCGAGCCAGAAATTCAAAAATTCACCTGAACATCTTCGCTCGCAGCTAAGTAAGGAAGGGGCCTGCGCTTCTCATCATGCGGTGGCTTTACTTGAGCTCGACCTTGAAGGGAGGAGGTCGCTTATATTCCTGTGCATCCAAGATTTCGGATCTCCGAACTCTTCCTTCTTTCGCCGAAATTGAAGCCATACAGACGAAGGTGCGAGGTCGAAACACGAATTGGCAATCAAGTGCATCGATGACTCAGAGGACTGACCTCCTTCTCCATGTTAGAATGGAAGGTTAGGATTAGGGTTAGGGTAAGGGTTTGAGATTTTGGTTGAGGTGAGGGTTAGAATTCGCATGGAGAATGAGCGAGTCAGTAGTTCGAACGAGCTGGATAGTGTCTGTATTATTTCTCCTCCTGACACGTTTGAAGTGCCAAATATGGTCCTGAACTGCAAAAGGACCAAATGACAAATAACAAATAACAATACTTGCTGATAAGACAAAAGGATCCGGGGTCAATTCGCGAATATAAAAAGTGGACAATGTCGTTTCTGCCATGCTAGTTTATAAAGAAGAATAAGGACAGTATCGACTTTTCAGATTTCATTTCAGCTCGAAGTCACACGTTGCTGCAGCTCGCTCATGTAATGCATCTCTTCTCTCCTCTTGGACTCAGTCTGAATTTACTTACAATCTAGTCCAAATTCAAACCCAAACTTCCAAAACTTTTTTATCAAACTTGTTACAATTTTTTTTTTTACAAGCGATAATCACTAAAGTGGAGGGGGATTTCTCACACACACAAAACTAAGGTATCATTAGGATTCAAACTTGATGAGACCTCTTGTCTACAAGTCAAAGCCCTTTTTTCACTGGTCTATACCGATTAGCCAACTTGTTATGTGTTATGTGCTAAGAACTTTGTTTTTCAAACTTAAGCAACAGGTCTTTGTTTTCAAACTTAGTTAGCTACAAGAGTTTAGCTCCTCTATTTTTCTAAGGCATAAGCCTCTGAAAAAAAGAGAGTAAATTTTGGGTGGCTGAAAGTCATCATCCTCAACTGATTTTGAATCGAAAGGCATGAAAAGGAAGTGATGTCATGTAACAGACGCTATCAATGTGAAAGACAACGCAACCACTGAGGCCTATTTTTCCAAAAAGCTCAAGATTCCATATTAAAAAGGTATGAAGACTTTTGTATACTAAACTTTAAATGCCATACATATATGTAGTAAAATTTTGTTTCAGAAGGTGGATAACCCTTAAACATTGCATTTATAGCTCATCATTCTTGTTTTTTATCTTTTTAGCCGCCAAATGAAAATCAGTAGTGCTCAAAACCCAAACTTCTTAACCCTTCAAACAAAATGTCATATATAGGTTGACATTACAAAAAAGTGTCTTGCAGAATTCATTTACAATGATGAATAACGTGTCATTATATTGAAAATTTCGAGTATCCGGCTCAAGGAAGTAAGAAAGAAAGAAAAGAGTAGTCCCAAAAGCACAGGATCTCACATTAGTTGTTCATATTCCACGATTTAGTAATGATTAATTTTTGGATACACGTTTCTGAAGAGTAGAGTTTCGTGTGTGCCCAACCGTAAAAGCTGTTCTGTGTTCATATGTAAATAATCCACCAGCCAAAAAGATGGTCGCCGTTTGGTTTGGACTCAGAAAAAGAAAGAAGTGAATTCAAGAAAGTATCCCACAAACAAGGAGACTCCACATGGCAGCAATATGACCGACCTGTAAAATAATGCAGGTGCAAGTCCAACAAGGGGCCCCACCAAGACGGTGCGTCTGTGAAAGCTTATTTTCAGATGAACACGTCAATTTGGTCTTCTCTTTTTTTTCTCTTTTATGAAGATGGAGATGGAGAGGACCCAAAACTGGCATACTTGGTTGGGTGGGTGGAAGCTGTAGGCTCTATAGACTATACCTGCAACTACCACCAACTCCAAACATTGAAGAAGAAGAAGAAGAAAGAAGACGATAAGCACGTCATCTCACTCACTTTGTCACACTAATTTAAGCTTTTTCCGCCAACAAAATCACATTTTGTTAGCTTTCAAATTCAACCCAGAAATTCAAACTTGTAAATTAAACCCAAATTATTAGTGCAATTTATGCTCTGCATTTTTGCGATTCCCACATATCCAGAGGGAGACAGGCATGTATGCCAAAACCACAACATGGGTCATCTTCTTCTTCTTGGTTCTCTCTGTTTCTCTCTCAGATCCAAGAACCAACCAAGTAGCACTCTCCTGTGGCACTCTCAAACCTCCACCAAACACCAGCATCATCCCCGCTTTTGTCAAAGAAATGGAAAGCCTTTCCCAGCTTATCACCACCCACCATTGGGGCACCCACTTTGTTAATTCCACGCCGCCCATGTACGGCTTAGCCCAATGCTTCCAAGACCTCTCTCACACTGACTGCCTCCTCTGCTACGCCGCTTGTCGCACTAAGATCCCTCGCTGCCTCCCCTCCCTTTCCGCTACCATTTTTCTCGACGGTTGCTACCTCCGTTATGATAACTACAGCTTCTACCAACAACCCACAGACCCTTCTCGTGACGCCGTGATCTGCAGCTCGTCATCAAAACAAGAGCTTGAAAATGAAGATCGAATGGAGTTTGTGAAGAATGTCGGATTTGCGATTCGTAATGTTACTAAGGCTGCTGTTGACAATGGTGGGTTTGGGGTGGCACAAGTGAAAGGGTCGGTTTATGCTCTGGCTCAGTGTTGGAAAACTGTAGGGCGTGATGGGTGCAGAGCTTGCTTGGAGAAAGGAGGTGAGGCAGTGAGGGGATGTGCACCAAAGAAGGAAGGGAGGGCTTTGAATGCTGGGTGTTATTTGAGGTATTCAACTGAGAAATTCTATATGGCAGATCATGGTCATGGTAATATAATATAACCCTTTTTCTTCTTCTTTTTTCCCTTTTTAAAGGTCTTTATTTTCAGGGGTTTAAGAACTAAATTAATATTTTTTAGCATAGGTTGGATCATATTCTTGCTTCAGAGGGACTCTGTCTGGTTGCAGAGGAATCCCATAACCTCTGTTGTTTTTCCACAAACTCAAATTTGTGAAATCAAACCTCAGTTTCTCTATTTTCGCTTTTCTGGGTGACCAAACAGAAAATAAAAAGTTTGACTTTGTTCAATTGATAGTGTTATTGTATTACCAAAGCTGTCTTTTTTTAAAATATTTTTTATAACTCAAAATCTGATTTGCATATTTTCTTTTTCAGGGTTGTCAGTAAGTAGAGGAATCATCATAGCAGTGGTTTTGGCAGCAGCTGCCTTCATATTGCTGTCTCTATTTGCTGCTTATGCAGGCTATGCAAAATTGGTACAGATTAAACAAGGTATAAACATAATACATTTATATATTTCTATGGGTTACTTGTGAAAAATTGTCGTTGTTTCTACAATATTTTCCTGTCTCTCTTTGCTGCTTATGCAGGCTATGCAAAATTGGTACAGATTAAACAAGGTATATACATAATACATTTATATATTTCTATGGGTTACTTGTGAAAAATTGTCGTTGTTTCTACAATATTTTAACATATATTCTCTCACATTCTTTATCCAGAGCGCAGTGGTGTAGGGTTGGCTTCAATAAGCATTAACAAGTACTCTAGCTTGAAGTTCAAGTATGAAACACTTGAAAAGGCCACAGATTATTTCAACTCCTCTAGAAAAATTGGGCAAGGAGGAGGTGGTTCTGTGTTCAAGGGGACTCTTCCAAATGGAAAAACGGTAGCGGTTAAGAGATTGATCTACAATACCAGGCAATGGGTAGATGAGTTCTTCAATGAAGTAAATTTAATCAGTGGAATTCAGCACAAGCACCTTGTCAAGCTTTTAGGTTGTAGCATTGAAGGCCCTGAGAGTTTGCTGGTTTATGAGTATGTGCCTAACAAGAGCCTCGATCACTTCCTTTTCGGTAATCGTCCTCTCTCTGCATGATTTTTAAATCTTTCACAAATTAAGTGGATCCTTATGCCCTCCATTTATATATGCAGATAAGAACAAGGTTCAGATTCTGACTTGGAATGAGCGGTTGAATATTATTGTTGGAACAGCTGAAGGGCTTGCCTATCTTCACGAAGGCTCCACAATAAGAATAATCCACAGGGACATAAAAAGCGGCAATGTTCTTCTGGATGAGAATCTCAGCCCAAAGATTGCAGACTTCGGCCTTGCTCGGTGTTTTGCTGCCGACAAGTCTCATCTTAGCACTGGCATTGCCGGAACGCTGTAAGTTTCAGCAAGTCTCTTCCATCATGTCCTTTACTTGATTGATACGACTTAGCAAACTTCTGAACATTTTGATCTCTAATTATGCTGCAAATCAAATCACATTGTGGTGCAGAGGTTATATGGCTCCTGAGTATCTTGTTCAAGGGCAATTGACAGAGAAAGCAGACGTTTACAGCTTCGGCGTGCTAGTTCTAGAGATTGTGTCTGGTAAGAGAAACAGCACCTTCAGACAAGACTGGGATGACTCGGATTCACTCTTACACAAGGTAAGTTTTGAACTTTGGACATAGCAATTAGCTGAGTGTGTGTGACTTGTATTTTCCAAATTGTAATGTTGAAACTTTAATTTTGATCTCAGGTTTGGAAACTCTACATATCGAATGACCTAGCTAGAGCCGTTGATCCTTGCTTGAGAGATGATTTTCCTGCAGAAGAAGCATCAAGAGTGCTTCAAATTGGGCTTTTGTGCACGCAGGCTTCAGTTGCTTTAAGACCATCCATGGCTGAAGTACTTGCAATGCTGACCAATAAAGAAAGGGCAGCAATACCGAATCCAAACCAGCCTCCTTTTCTAAATGCCACAGGCGGCAGCACAATTAACAGATCTTATAGCGCAAACAGCTCCGTATCAAATGCATTAACAAAAGTTGTAGCGTCCTGCACCTCCACAGAGTCCTCCAGCGTGCCTAGCTCATATGCGGATTTCAAGAACTGTACAAGTTTTGCACAATAAGTAAATTCCAACCCAATTGGCAATTTCCATTTTCAAGTACACAGGCAGGCAGCTAGCAACTTTTTCAGCTCACTCATCTCTGTGAATCCTGCGACTGCTAACTTTAACAATGAAGATTGCGGCAAAAGACCAATACATACATGCCATGGTGCACTAAAAAGCTGTGCATCTCTGTTTTTCTATTTGTTTTTTTTGGGCCTGAAAAGCCTGTTGAGTTCTTATATCTATCTATTAGTAGAAAATATCAAATATTTATATATCGTTTGTCATGTTTACTCATCCGGACAGCAGAATTGAGAAATTGCAGATGGATATTCTGAATTTCAGATAAATTTCCAAAATTAAAAGAATTAGGTGGCTGCCAGGGACCCGATTACACTTGATCAAGGGGTCCACGAACGATCTGGGTAGTCTTTACATATTAAATGTGACAGGTCTTGACATGCCAGGTGGCAATTGGATCAATGCAGAGATTAGTGATCGATGAGCTGCTTAAATTTGTGACGGAAGTTTGAATAGAAAATTAAGTTTTCCTTAGTAGTTAAGCACAAGACTTTATAAAATTTAGTTCATCTTTAATTTTAAAACAGATTGGACTTGAGTTGGTTACTAATACTATTAGGCTCAAATTGAATAACAGAATTTTTCTGTAATTTTCATCTCATGACAAAATAGGCAAAAATTCGAGCCCTCACATTTATGCAGATTTGGTCTCAAAACAAAACTTGCGGAAATTTGAATCAGTGTAGCTTTTGAGCTTTGATGTTTAAATTCAAATGTTCTTTTTTAAAATTTGAAAATCAAATTAAACCTATCTTGTTACAGCAATTGTAACTGCTCATGAAAAGTTATCTAGATGTCTTTAAATAACCAACCCTATTACAGAAATAGGCACTAAATAATCACTCACAAAATCACTCACTATTTGAAAGAGAAAAAACAAATACAATTCACCAGAGTTTTGAATTATTGATAATTGTATCTCGAAAATAGATACCTGAAGAACTATAAGGCACAAATGTAGGGATAGTTATATCTTGGAAATAGACGCCAAAAGAACTATAAGGCACAAGTGTAGGGGCGGCATTTTGTCTGGACGTTGCATTTACAAACCTCTTTTTATTTTAGCTGTATAATGTTATTAATTTACATTTTGATTCATATTATAATTCTATTGAAATCATTTAAGTTGTATTTAAATTATGTTATCTTACATTTATTAGAGTTGCATACTGATTGTTCTCCAACATATATTACACATGCAAAGCTATTATTGTATATACATGCCTGCAAAGCAAATAAAGAAAAGTTGTTAACTCTTTCGAAATTTCGCGAGCGCATGCGTCAAGTCAAGCACGTGATTCGGGATTCCGACAAGTCCTAGCCCGCCAGGTGTTGAACCACGTCGCTGCGTTGTTTCGTGCTGCTAGCGACATATCATCGGTACGTTACCATCACCAATACCAAATGCAGAGCACATCACGTCTTTTTTTTTGTGTCGTTTTTTGAATTACTTTTGTATCGTTTTTTGTGTGTCGTTTTGTGTCGTTTTTTGTGTCGTTTTTTAAAAGCATCTCAAGATAAGATCACCATTATCATTTGTGATAGCGTCTGACAAAAAAATTTATAAATATTCTTACTGTTGTAAAGTCAAGAATGTGGAGCTCAAAATGATAGGGTCCACTACTTAATTGATTGAAGAAAATTCTGAAGATACACTGCACATCCACGGGGAGCCAAGAGACCTTCACGAGTCTTCTATTTACCGAATAGTTAGCCAAAGCTTTTCATATAAAACTATGGCTTCATTCTCGTTTGTATTAGAGAGAGAGAGAGATACAGAGAAAGACTCAATGAAAATATCAGAAGAATATTTCTATCACTATTTGAATTCTCTAAATTCTCTCCTCAATCTCTTTAGTTTTATAACACGTTATCAGCACGAAT